AAAACCGGCTCCCACCAGATTCAAACTAGCAGCTTCATCTGTTTATCCCAGAGGATGTACAATCACTACTGCTTTCTGTGGGGGAGCCCTGTTCTACAATGTGAGTTCAATCAGCATCTCCCACTGTTGCCCTAAACACGTGTTCTACTTTTGAACCCCACTGTCCAACTGTACGATTATTTAATCGTACCTGGAGTTTTGCTCATGTTGCCCTTTCTGAGTCAAATGCCCTCCTTCCCACCACCATCTGTCAAAACCCTTCCTCTCCTTCAACACTCATCTCAAATGCCATGCCCTCCATGGAGCCCCTTCTATCCACAAACCTAATGTAATCTTTCTCTCCTTTGAACCCAAAGAGCACAATGGGAAATTAGATGCTTCCTGAGACACCAACTTTACCTTTTATAAATGAAAACTATGCATGTGTTTTAAACCCCTTGGTGGGGGTGTTTTGTTCATCTCTGTACACTAACCCACACTGCCCAGAAGAGTGCCATGCCCATGTTAAGGGGTCAAGGATTTTCAGGATTGGGGATATGGAAATCACCTAATCCAACTCTCCTACATTTTAAGTGAGAAAACAGAGATTCAAAAGGGCTAAGAGACTTATTCATAATCATAGCCAGTCAGGGAGAAAATTGGGACCAGGCCTGATCTCTTCACCCTTCTTCTATAATCATGCTACCTTTCAAGTAATTACTTAAATCGTGATTCAAAAAACAGTATGTTATTTCTATTGTAGTTTAAATTCTGGTCAACTAGGATTACCCTAGTCCCTAGCAATTGCTTGCCTACCAGATTTGTGTGTGTGTGTTTATTGATTTCAGAGAGAGGAAGGGAGAGGGAGAGGTAGAAACATCAATGATAAGAGAGTCATTGATCGGCTGCCTCCTGCAAGCACCCTACTGGGGATCAAGCCCAAAACCTGGGCATGTACCCTGACCCGCAATCGAACCTATGCCCTCCTGGTTCATGGATCGACACTCAACCGCTGAACCACACCAGCCAGGCTGCCTACCAGATTTTAAAAGAAAACCAAAATAGACCACTTTATTCCTATAGTATCAAAAGTAAATGTAGAACTGAGGACAGCATTAGAAAAGGGTCATTCCATCATCTGCAGTTTCAAAATTTAAGAAAAGAAAAAAAGTAAACCTGTTATCCCCCCAAATGAGGACCTTATAATCTGTTTGATAAAAATTAATCTTTGCCTTCCCTGCACTTGATTAATGTTTTTGACTAACTCTACTCCTATCCCCCTTTTTTGGACTAATTCCACTTTTACAAGGTCTCGCAAATTGGCTCTCTACGTAAGATGAATTGTATACTTATAAAAGTGAAATGTAATAGGCTCAGGGGGTCTGCCAGCTTAACCTTCACTATCACAATATTCTGCCTTAAAATAGACCCTCTAATGACTTATTCACGTGAAAACACAAGACCCTACTACTAAAACTCATGGGTGGACTCTCTCCATTGTTTTCTAAACCTGTTTTTTCTGACCTGAACTACATGATACTCTTCCTTTTTATTCACTGGAATGCATTTTAGGCAGTTTTAGGATCTGAAAACATTACAATTCTAAATCACTTAATATGACATGAACGTGCCATTTAATTTCAAGTAATTAGATAAACTGTGATTTATTAAAGTAAACCACTGTTAATACCAGGGTTCCTAAACTAGGCTTAGAAATAGCAGCTCTTAGAGACAGGTGTCAAATTGCAAGTCTAGTTCCAGGGGCTTCAGTCTGACATTCAGTGGTGTAAATTCGGCAGGCAACTTGTTAGAGGAGCAGAAGCTTCTTGTCCTTACTTTTAGAGTGAGCTAACAGAGCCTCAGGTAGAGAGGGCCCCGCTGTCCCCACACTGCCCAGAGTTTGGGGTCAAACTTTCACTCTACCATGGGACCCCAGTCACTGTCAAGCAAACAAGTCATCACCCCCTCAGTTTGGAGAGCCCAAAGGAGACCCAACACTCACTTTAGGGAAGGAAGACTGCTTGCAGGGGCTCCAGGAGCCCCTGAACCCTGTAGTCCATCCTCCCCAACCCTGCTCACCTGAGCCCATGGATCAGGGGAGCGCTGCTCGATCTCCTCAGGGTGCCCCCATTAGATGTGTCAGGCTCAAAGTCCAGCTCCATTTTCTCCTGAGCCATGTCGGAGACTTGCAGCCAGGCACAGCGAACAGAGCTCAGCTCCTGGTGCTTAGCTATGGACTCCCAACA